ATTCCAGACCAAGAAATTGATGTCTAAAATAGAGATAGATTTTTGGCTAACTGGAATAAGACAATATGCCAATGGAAGGAAGTGATGTCCTTTTGCCTAAGAAGTTTTTGTGGCCTAGAATTTTATGGATTGGGAACTTCTGCTTTAGAATTACCCGAGTATCCTCTCAAAATGTGTCCATATTCTTCTTTGATTCACTGGCTACACAGCTATGGATATGGATTCTGCATACACCTGGATACCCATTGTATCCCAGGATTTAATTCCTATAACTAAATTCTTTCAGTATTGGCCTTTTAGGTAAGTGTAGACTGGGGCTGCTTTTCAGAGCAATGCCCTGCTCTGAGCACAGTATGCTGAGCTATGGAAAGTATGCATGACTTCCTCCAGAGGCTGGGTGTAAATCTAGCCACTGATGCTCTCAAAATACTTCAGAGTCTTAAAACAGGAGGAAGACCCAGAGATTAGATTCAGGCCTTCATACAGTAACCACCAGGAGTAGCAGGTTACGGGGATCTTGTAGGCGCCCTACAGCAGTGCTTCTGAAACTTGAATGGTCATTAGCATCACTTGCAATGCTTAGTAACATTCAGATTATTAGGCTCCACCTCAGAGATTCAAATTCACTAGGTCTGAGAGGGTCCAAGAATTTCCATTCCTCACAATTTCTTCATCAGGGCTAAAGCTGCTGTTCTGTCTTTTGAGAGCCAATGTTCTAGAGCTTCCTTCTTCCTTTTTATCCCTTATCAGAAGATTAGGATGAGGCTGCATTCCGCTAGTTAGTACTTGTGACAGAGAACACTGTCACTTTGCTACAGTGAATAAGGCCCGGGCCACGTTGTGGTTGCTTACCATGACCACTGACCCCACGCGTGGGAATAGAATAGACTTATAACTTCCTACCTTTCCCTGAGGCTGCATCTTCTTTCAAATTAGAAGGTCATCTGTGAAGTTCAGTGGCTTCCAACAGCCAGTTTGAGAACCAGTGCTAGGTTGGTTGCGTAAGCAAAACCAAGGAATGTGTTAGAAATATAAATTCCTTGCCCCTGCCCTGGGATATTTTGATTCATTGAATCTGGGATAAGCCTAGAGACCTGTGTTTTTAACAGTCTCCCGTGATGATTCAATCCACTTCAAAGTTGTCTATCTATAGGCCTTGAATATTTCTTTCCATGGTCACCCATAGAATTATTATTCCAGTAATACGCAGCTCTTTGGAGTATCTTTGCCCCAAATTTAGACTGTACCCTTAGAGAAGGGATTGGCAACCTTTTAGAAGAAGCATTCCACTATTTTTTTCTTTAGTTTTTCATCATCAGAGATGGCAATCCTGGTGGAATGATCAGTGGCTCAGCCCCCCAAAAAGAACCTAATGGACACTGGGTTCTTTAGAGAAGCATCATTCCTGGTATGTTTAGAAGTGATTGTGTATACACAGGTACCCAGCCCCTTAGGCGCTGTCACAAGCATGATTGCCCCTACTTGGGGTTATCAGAAAGAGGGAAGGGTCCTTGCATAAGTTCATGAATGAGTTCAGTGGTTCCCTCACCCAGTATACAATCGCTGGGTATCTGCTCCCAGGATAAACAGAAGTATGCTCTCAGGATAAACAGAGAAGCAAAAAACAGTTCTTGCCCTCAGGATTCCACACTTTTAAATCTTAACTTAAGATGCTGAGATGTAATAATGAGATGTTATTATCTCTTATACCTTCTTTGGCACACACATCCATGCTGATGTATGTAGACACAGACACACACGCACACCGTCTTCAGCACAGAAATGCATTTGGCACAGGTGCCAAGGATTGCCAACCATCTTACATACACACAACCTTAGAACCAGAAAACAATGTCCACTTTGAGAGTTACTAACCCTAGCATCACCTGCACAATTTTATTTTAGGTAACAGATCACATAGTTTCCTTTCAAAAAGTTTTTATGGTGTTGTTATTCCTCTGTGCTGGAGTTGGTTCACAGTCCATTGAAGGAAAAAAAACAATGGTATTTATTTTGTTATTTGGAGAGGAAAATGCCTCTCTTTAAAGGAGGTATAGACACTAATATTAATTTAAAACTCTTATGTCTAATATCTACTTATTATAAAAACAGGCGCATTTTTCTTTATAATTATCTGTTACACTGGATCCAAATTCAAACATTTTATAACACTTACATAAAATGAACTGCTTATATTAAAATTCATGTAATGCTCCTGCCTTCTCCAGTTTAAGTCAATCATCAAAGGACGCTCAACCTAGCTATATATGTATATTTTTTTTCTTGAGCTAAATAATTTGAAGGTGTTACCAGCCCTCTTTGCTTTTGAGCAAGAGAAAATGCACTGTGGAAAGAAATGCTCTCTCTTATTTTTAAGGTCATTCATTGATTGGGTGATTGGGTGAAAAAGGCAAATGCCCCCCCCCCCTTTTTTTTTTGGTTGAACTTCCTTCAATTAAGCAATTAACCTTTTAAAAAAAAGTATATTCAAAAATCTATCAAAAAAAGCTAAATGAGATTTTAACAAAATCCTGACAATTTCAGCTTAAACATATACACAGAAACCATATGTGCTTAGGAAGAAATATATACACACAGGCATTGTTTACAGTGTGTGTTTTTATATTTGGAAGACATTGAAGGAAGAGCCATTCCATACATACATTATCTGCAGTGTACATCCAGATAGCCCACATAGATTTCACATTAAGAGACAAAGATATCTTTATCCATGGTAGGTGGACAGACAGACTGACTTCAAACTTGGACTTGCAGTGTGGATTTTCTTTTTTCCCTCATCTCCGGGTACTGCTTTTCAGAATTGCCTCGGGCTACAGAACAGCACCTCAGATCCCCAAGGCCCACTGCCTGGCTCCTAATAGCCACTCTCCATCTGTGTCACATGAACAGCTGATGAGATCTCTCCAGTGTCTGTATTTTGGAGAGCACATCTACCCAGGTTAAAATGCTAGGGTTGCCAAGGAGCAGTCAGAAGCCATTAGTGTGGGTAAGAATTTGCCTTGCAGCAGTTCCGTGGCATGGTGGAGAGCGTGTACGCGTGTCCCTGCTTGAGCTTGTGTGTGTGTGTGTGCGTGTCTCCTTATGCAAGCGACCCCTGGTATACACGGGTATGTAGGGAGGGTGGACAGATGAAGACTAGCCTCCATATATCCAGTATTCGAAAGCCAAATGCCTTTTGTTTCCCTGTTACTCTGATTAGTTCTTTGACTATTTGGAGTCCCTTTGACTCACTCTTTTTTCTTTTCTTTCTTTCTTTCTTTTTTTTTTTTATCATAACAGACGGCAAAGAAAAAGAGAACAGCAACTTCGAGGTCGTGCTCTAGTGTTTGGGCAGATGGAAGGGAGCTGCTTTGCCTTGGGGCAGGGTGGTTGTAATGAAGTGGCCTGTCAGTCTGTAAATAGTGAGGGTCATCTCTTCCATGTGATGGAGGGTATCACATTGCAGTGAAAATGGAAATGTCAATAAAATTAATCTGCTAGCTCTTTGCTGTGGCTTCTCTGCTTCTCTGGTCAAAGAAGGTTGAGGGTTTTTTGGTGAGATAGGAAAAGAACAGGTATAGGGGAGCCCACAGATTAGACACAGAAGTTAGAAGGCGAGGAGCCTGCTGGGCAGGACGTTTCGGTGTAGCCCAGCCCAGGAGGAAGGAATGGGTCTGGGACTGAGCTGGGAAGCTGCGGAGCGTCTAGCTCAGGCTACATTGAGCACAGAGTTTATTGTTTTAGGCTTTCTTGGACAAGGTTTTTACTTAGCATGGGATTTATGGCATTTACTGCTAATGAATGTCTATTCTTAAATTACAAAAACCCCCATCTCAGCGCAATTCCCAGATGTCCTTCCAGGACCCCAGCTTCTTAAACACCAGCAGGGAGCATAAACTCTCCACTTCTCTGTTTTCCTCTTTCGTGTGGCTCCAGGCTAATGATGTGCAAGGAAAACACAGCCATCTATAAAGCCCCAGTGCTGTCCCCGTATTCTTCATTTATTTTGCATTTGATTATGCCACAAGTCGGATCTTGTTTCTTTCCTTTTTTAAAGTTATTAGTTCAAATATTAATGTAGGGATATGGCATATATTGCTGCTCTTGATTGATGCCTTCCCAAAAACAGGAAGACGTGCTCGTATGAATTTTAAGAAAGTAGGGGTCCTGCAATGCCTTGCCAGAAGAGTTTTTCAGATACATAATTTAGATGCCCTCCAGGCAGGCTTTCAAGGCATTTTTGCTGGAGGGCAAGAAAAAATAACTATGACTGTTAAAAGTAAATGATTTTTGCTAATGCACAATTAATGCCAGAGAAAAGCACAGAAGAGAAAGATGTTGATGGAAACTTCTGATTAAGTGAGCACCCTACCTTCATGTATATCTTTTCTTTTCTTTTTCTTTTTTTTTAATGATCACGATCATGATTAGTGGTGCAGAGAGCTAAAAGTTTCCATGTCATGCAAATGCTGAGTGTAGGGTCATCTGAGGAGTGTGTGAATGTGTGTGAGTAGGAGGTGACAGTCGTAGGAGGGGCTGAGCAGGCAGTGTGTTATGTGCAATGAACAGTGACACAGTTACTGTCACCTATGCAGGCAGCCTAGAATATATAGACTACAGAACATTTAACTTGATTACCCTACAGTATGTGTTCACGATGGGCATGGGGATGCATTTTCACCAAATGGGTTTTCTGATGGCGGTTTTCCCACATTGGATTCCATAATTGACAAAGAGCTACTGCACTGTGTCAAGCGCACAATTATAATTGAATTAATGATATGGGCGAGTGTGAGACACACAAAATTAACATTTGAAGAGGCCTGGTTTAATTTTGTCTTTTACATATTTGTGTCTCCAATTATACTTTAATGAAAGAGAATATACCTGCTTAATGGATTTCTTTCAACGAGCTTAGCTGAGCTCATCATTAGCCGCACATCGTTGTTGGCACCCTTTCTGTGTTGTCTAATGTATTTTCATTTTTTTTTTCCTACTAGGGGATGGTTTAGACAACAGTGTAGCTTCACCTGGCACAGGTGACGATGACGATCCAGACAAGGACAAAAAACGCCAGAAGAAGAGAGGCATTTTCCCCAAAGTAGCAACAAATATCATGAGAGCATGGCTCTTCCAGCATCTCACAGTAAGTCAATACGAAAGAGAAAGTTGTGTTGTTTTGCCTTCTGCTAGCAAATCGTACAGATTGATACAGATTTTTAGGAATAAGGTGCCTCTTCTCCCTTTCTTGAAATCTGTTGACTGATGGAGCAGTTAAGGTTTCATCAACTGTGGCCACTCACAGAACACCCTCTAGAAAGGAGATTTTTGTTTTAATAGGCCAGGAATCGACCTTACTCAAGATGGTCTAGGGCCCTACACAGTATATGTAAGTAAATTTGTTATTGATGCTGAAGGTATGAGAGCAACTTCAGCTAATGCCACTGCGACCAAGCGAAATGGCTGCAAGGAGCTCATGTATCCATAAACACTGCTGATTACACTCTTAATGAAAGCCATCTCCTCTAGGAGGCAAAAAAAAAAAAAGGGGGGTTCCTTGCCCCATGCGTGTCCCAGCGCATTGGTATCAGGTGCAACTGGAATCACTGGAGCCACGTGCAAACGTGGCCCGCGTTTATGTGACAAACACAGAAAGCTTATAGGTGCTGTAGTGCCTCCATCTGTAAGGTGGAGACTAAAGATTCCTTTGTAACTGTTCAAGTCCATTTTCTTATAAGCCAACCCCGTTCACTTCTGGGCAAAGATCAACTATGCAACATCTTTAATGATTTCTCTTTCTCCTGCTCACAGTCGGTTTTATGCGGTGTATACCATTGACTCTAAGACCCTCATGACCGAAAAAAGTCACGGTATCTTCTTACAGAGGGACTGGGCACTCATATTTTACTGTTCGTCTGGAAATTCTGGGCAAGTGGTAAAGGTATCAGAGGCGGTTGCTTGCTATGATATTGTTTTCAGGCCATTCTGTTTAGGCCCATGCTGAAAAACAGAGTAGCCCGTTGAAAGCTGAAGGTCTTCTTTGATTATCCAACTTGTGGTTTGCCATGCTGAATGACATTAGTTACAGTGTCATGGGTCCAGGACAAGGTTCCACTTTTATTTATGGTGGTGGCTGTGGCTCTGCTCTTGCAGCAGACCTACAGAGGGCAAGGGGTGGAGCACTAGTGGGGAGGGCCAGGTGATAAATTCACATCCCTAAATCGGCCATTTTGATGTAAGGACATTAGTAGCAAACTAAGGTGTATCGATCTGGCCTGTGGTGTCAGGATTAGCCGGGGGAACCAGCGAGGCTGCCCTGGTAGTGGTTATTCTTGCCTTGCAGCTATGGCCATTTCAAAGGTCAGGGCCCTGCACTGACTTGGCTCAGAGGAATTAGACGGAACATGCGGTCTCTGGGCTGATTACTTAACCAAAGACAAAATAATGAGTCCTAAGCAAATACTGACTAATTGAAAGGGCTGTAAATCCATTACATATTGGTCAGGGATAATCAGGAGTATTTAATCACTTTTATCTATTCAGGAGCACTGAAGCTGCAACAGCAAAGCCCTGAACCTTGCCATGTGGCTATTATTCTCATCATTATCAAAATTACTTCACAGCTGTTCTTTGCTACATCACCTCAGCTGGAGATTTACTAACCTGTAAAATGTTTTTAATTTGGAAGTCGAGTGAGTGCAAGGGGAGGGGTTTCTCGTTTTTTTGTTTTGTTTTTTTTGTTTTGTTTTGTTTTAACTGAAGGTTTGTTTGGTTAGAGTAGCAAGTTAGCAAGGCAGGGTAGGGGCGCCTAGATGGCGGGCGGGTGGGTAGGCAGGCGGCTCCCAGGCCGCTCACCTGTTCCCGGTCCTCCCTCCGTCTCGTCTCCCTGGCTTGTTGCACAGCTCAGCCCTTCTTGGCGGAAAAGAAAGATCTTGACACTGGCTTCCCAAGCAGACATATCCATGTATTTGCAGACCCTCAGTAATCGAAGTCCACACCCCAGGCCAGCAGAACCTGAGCGAGTTCAGTGGCTCTGTTTACGAAAGAGGAAACTGAGACCCAGGAAGGGGAGTGATTAACTCCAGGTCACGCTGCCACCCGGACCCAACCTGCCCTGTCCCCAGCCCTGTGCTTTTTGATTCTGATGACTTGGCTAGAATCATTCTCCCTTTTCCGGGTGGCAGATAAATCTCACACAACCTCTGCCAGCAATGCACTCGGCATCAAAGCAGGGGACAGACTGAGAAGAGAAGTGCCGTTCTCTGGATTTGTTGTTAAAGCTCCCCACTCCCCCCAGTCTCTGGGTGGAGAAGACTTCCTTCACCCCTTTCTCTTCAAGCTGCCCCCCCAGCCATGTCCTCTGCCTTGAGCCCCCAGATGGGTGTCTGGAGCCCTTGCTAGGCCCCCTGCCTTTACCCTGTCGGTACTTACCTCCCACTGCCCTGCCCTGGGCCGAACCCACTGTGTACTGTGGCCACTGGTGAAGAATTGTGCATGGCCAGTGATTGCCCACCTCTCCTTGTGACTTGGCCATGCAGGGTGCTGCCCACCACCCGCAGCACCTTGCCTCACCCCGAGGGTGCCTCCATCTGGGTAAAGTACCTCAAGACTTGGTGCAGAAGTCTATGGCCAGCTGAAGATTTTCATGAATGCCGGTCCGTAGAGTGGGGAGAGAATTCAAAGAGCATTTGGAGGCCGGCATGCCCCTGCCCCGGCTGGACTTCACGGAAACCCGTTGAGTTCCCTGGACCTTCCGTTGGCCCAGTTTTCAAATGAGAGGGACACAGAGCAGGGTGTCCACACCGCAGGCTCCTTTCCTGCACCCATAGCACTGGGGTTGCCTCACGAGCACGCAGCCAGAGCCCCGTTCTGTCCCAGCCCTGGTCATCCTTGTCTCCCTGTCCCCCTTTCTTTTCCTCTTCTTCTAAGTGCTTTATTTTTCTCCTCCCCATGACCTTCCTTCACAACATGGCCCTTTCATTACTTTCTCCCACTGGCTTTGTCTCCCAGTCTTTCCCTCTGCTCCCTCCCTTGCCTTTTCTAAACCTCCCTTGTGTCCTAAGGAAATTCTCCTCAGCTTTCTCTTTGGAAAAAAAAAAAAATTCCCTCTTCATCCAGATTTTACCCCAACTGCAGAAGAGAGGTTCAGTAACTTTGATGAGGATGGTCCTGTAAAACTTTTACTTTCCAATCTTTAATGAGCTGAAAGATTTACTCAGCTATAATTCTGAGCTCAGAAACCAAGAATAGAGACCCCTAACTAGCGACATGTTAATTTAGACTTCTTTTCTTACATGCACTAACAGGCATGAGGAAGTCCTTGGAAATAGAGATGCCCACTATATTTTTCTGTCATTTAATTAATTTCAACTTTCAAAGTGAAATGTTGGCTCTAGCTCGCTGAAACTCGATGCAGTCTAAATTATTATTTCATGTAAATTTCTTCACAAGTGCATGATTCAGTGTGCATTCCTCCATTATTAGTCTCTTTAACATTATTTCAAACTGTTTTTTTTTCCCCTTTTGTGCAGTATGACCTGTTCTTGTATTACAATAATCCCCGATGTACCCTTTTTTTCTTTCTTTTTTTAAAAAAGAAGCTAATTGAATTATCTCATTATTTTAATTTGTTAAGCAAATGTATTTTGCATCTCAGGATGTGTTCTTAAAGAAGGGGGTTGCTGAGGCTTTGCCCCCTGAATGGGCCATTGGCCCATTTTGACATTCATGCATTCATTAACCAGCAGAACATAAAAGAACTCTGGTTGTATTTTTTTTTTTCCAAACACCCAACCAGCATGGAGCAACTTTTTCCAATAAGCCACAGGGGTCTCTCTACATATGTTCTCAACTGCAAGCTATTGTCACCTATTCTGAATACCTCAAAAGGCCCAGAGAAAAAAGAAGCCCACCTCAACAAAGGCCAACTGTAGCAATTGTTAAGTCTTAGTCTCAATATGACAAAAATCATTAACCTTCAGTTTTCTTGGAAGAACAAGTTCTACTACAACTGTAACAGTTAAAACAATCTCAGTATACCGCTAACTTTAGGGAGAAAGGTAATATGCTTGCAGCTGATTGATTATCCTGAAGGAAATATTTGAACTAAATTTAAAGTGGCATTAAAAAAAAGCACACAAATTGTTGGATGAATTGACGAATTTCCGTATTCAGAGTTAAGCACTTTGAATTTAAATTTCATCTGAGGTTAAATAATTAATTTCTGGTTTCCAATTACTAATTTCCAAAGTCTCTTTTAAAAATCCCCTTTAAAAAACTCATAATAATTTTGAAAAGGTAAACCCATATATATATATGTGTATATATATATATATATATTTCAAAATTATGTATATATTTAGAAATTCACCTGCTAGAAATGTTCTATATATGATTACCCCCCTCTTCTACTGGTTGATGGCTCTGCCGGCTTCTCAGACTAAAAAATCTAGTGAAGATTGAAGAAAGAATCTGTTGGAAATGTATGTGCTTTTGCTGGAAAGTACCCAATGGCAAAAGAACTTAGGGAAATCCTAGGGAAGTATATTCCTTTCACTAACACATGGAGATTATGGTATCATAAAAGTAAGCCTGCCATTACAACTGTTTTATTTGACTTCAAAGATAGTTAAAGAAAGAAACAGCAAGAAATAATGCCGGGGCTAGCGGTTTATTCATAACCATGAAACACTCCTGCACGCCAAGAAGCCCTTAGTGTGCTCACTTAGGCTCTCAGGCACCTCCACTTGCCACCTTGGAGAGCTTTCTAGTTGTGCTGCAAAGAATATATTTGATCACGGAATGAAAACAGGAAGTGCTCATACACAAAGACACCACTTGCTCATAGCAGTCTCTAACTAAAGATTTTCTTATTTGAAAACACAGGGCTAAAGCTCACACTTAGGGGATGTGGGGCTTCTTTCAAAGATATGTGTACAGAATCAGAAGCAAATTTACTTTAAAGTGATGTAATACCATGCAGCCTTCCTGAAACGGCAGGTTATAAAAATGGTGCCCTTTGTTCATGGCAAAATGTTTTTTTCCCCCACTCTATCTCTGGTGGAGAGGGAGAGTGATGAAACCTGCCGTTCGCATGTAAAGTCGTTTGGCTCCTTGTCTATTAGAGATTGTTTTATGGGATTTTTT